CCCCAAAACCCCAAAACCCCAAAACCCCTATTGTGTATTAATTAAGCAAAAAGTAATTTTTAGAAATATAAAGTTGTGCATACTAATAATCTAGGTAATTATTGACATTATAGTGGAGATTAAAACTTTTAGTTTGAGGAGTGAATTCAGTAGTCATCATTCTTTGATTCCCCTCATTTAGCGCTCCTTTGGTGAAGCATTCCTCCCTGAGTCATAGGTCTCTTACTTTAGGAAGGCTAAGGCTGAGTTTGAAGGGTGTTATTTGAGGCATATCCGTAATTAAGCTGTGGCTATGATGATTGCTAAGCATTCATAAAGTTGTTATTCATCATGTTTCTGTTGTTCCCACTTGAAACTGTACTTGCATAAAGAGGAGGAGGTGCTTAAAAGTTAAAGCCTGGAGGATTCTAAGCACTGCCTTACATCCTCAATCTTTGCTAAGTCTAGATGAAGTTCTAAGATTTGGTACTTTGCAATCCATTTCTCATTTAACTTTACTTTATAGGGTTCATTGAAGATGCTCCACCAGTATTTATAATAATTTTGTTTGGATCTCCTTAGTGAGAAGCTTACTGAGTGATTGGCCTTGCCCCACTTTCTTAGTTTGAAGAAGGTGTAAAGTTGTGATTGATGTTGATGTTTATATTGTTATTTATAAAGTTATGATTTACACCGTCCTTGGATACTCCTTAGCTTGCACTCCTGGTTTTAGTCTGCTAAGTTGTACAGTTCTATATGCAAATATATTCATTGAATTTGGCTTACCCTGATTTATTGCTAGTTTAGAGAAGCTAAATCGATTGTATAGTTATATTGCTGGTTTTCATTATCAAGCTTATTTTATTCATTGTAAAGCATGTTTGACCCTCCTTTGTTACTCAATTGGCTTTATTATTAATGAATTCTAAAGTTTCTGTGAAGATTTCCAGTGCTTTGATAAGAAGTCATTTAACTTGGGATTGATCCAGTGGATTGTACATTATTTGAGAAATACTGCTTACCCATTTTCATATATTAGTCTTACTATAAGGACTTAAGCATAATTCATCTTTTCTTACCTTTTATCTCAAAATTCTCTCTGAACTCCCACTTGTGATTTACCTTGAGTTTTAGAAACTTGGAGGTAAAAATCCTTAAGAAGAAGACATACCCAGATGTTGAATATCAGTACTCATCCCATTTATATTTCTTCTAACTAAACTATTTAAAAACTAATAGTTATTACATTTGCCGTTGTTCTCAGCAGTTTTGCTTGCTCTTTGCAGAGTTCCCTAACCTGACAACGTGGGTTGACTGTAATTTCTCATCATTCCTGGAAATCCCGATCCTCTAAAGAATTATCTGTCTTACTAATTGTTAGACCTCTATAAGAATCCCTCCGCTAATATCATATCTTCTCCAACTGGATTATCTTTATCTTGCACTCCATCTAAGTTGGTATTTTCTTCGCCAATCTTGAGCATCTAAGGATCTTAATTTAATAGCATTTCCGCATTCATGACCATCTAAGGATTAATATGCTGGTTTTAAAGCATCCACATTAGCATCTATTGCTAGTAGTTCTTCTTTTATGGGTTGATCTTTTTAAGCTTATAGGTAGTTTTGCCGCCTTTTTCCTCTCCACCACATATTTCTACATCGAAAAAGTTCTCAAATGTCTTAAAATTCAGATGAGCAGCATATGGGGATTAAATGAATCTTTATTGGATCATATAGTTCTTCAACTTTTCTCTTCTAATCATATTTTGGTGTTACTGGAACTATTCCTCAGTCATTTGCTATGATTACGTGTTTCCTTGTAATTAGGATACATCTTCAACACTAGACCTCAACTGAGAGATTTCATGAGTTGCATTCATCTGTGGAATTTAATGAGGAGTTTGATTATTAGCTAATTAGACTTATGGAGATGGTTAAATCTAGGCAGATTATGCTTACTTTCTTTACTGAATTCCTCCTCCTATTCTAATTCTAGAACTCTATTAGCTCAATCTTGATTAGCTACTTTAAGCAATATTTTATTGCTAGGCTGGCATAAAAGAATTCTGGCTACTTTAAAGACTTGATTACCAAGTCATTTAGGGTTTTATCTACTGATTCAACGAATTTCTATAGGTCTAAGATCTTTGAGCATTTGTCTTATCAGCTGCTTTCAACCTATTTTCAGCTCTCTATTTAGTCTTCTCCATTTAATTAGACCATTGCATTGTATTTGGCAATGAGCCTATTGAGCTCTGCTTCAATGATGATTGTTTAACGAAGGATGACGTTTATGGACTGCTATTAGAGTACTGATGCTTGTCAGGAGAATACTAGCTTACCTCATTATCAAACTCCTTTGAATTAAGCATAAGCTTTTTAGACCTGTCCTTTCTACTAGAGCTGATTGGTGGTGAAGAGGTAGAATTTTATCTCGCTGGCTTAGTATTAGAATTGCCATCTCTAGATTAAAGACTTTGCCTTAAAGAGTCAAACTATTTTAATTAGTTTTAGACTTTCATATTTGGTTTTTTGCTTGAATTGTTAGAATCAATTTCTTATATTTATACTGACTTCTGCTTTTAAGAGTCTATTCTTTGGTATTCTTTCGAGTTATTTTAGTAGTTTACTAGACTTTCGCTATTCGGATGGCTATTTATAAGCTAGTTCGTACCTGAGATATCTTCTCTCTCTGTTTTAATTTACTCTTCTTAGTCCTATGAATAACTGCCATTTTGATCATACCTAGGTGAAGCAGCCCTTCCATCAATCTCTAACTAATCCTATAGATTATCTTCCATCATTAGATCTTCATCTTAGATTGGCTAGGTATTATTTTCCTCGTCTAATCCTAACTTTCTCAATCTTCTTCGTTTCCTTTCATTAAGACCAAATACTTCTTTAACTAACTCATAATATATCCAGAGTTCAGGATGAGGATCAAATATTGTTATTGTATCATCATCATTTTAAAGTTATCTCTCCACACTTGACTTTGAATTATCTTGTTCAACATCCTCATGATCTTCCTCATAGGATTAGTCATCTGAATTGTCTTATTTTGGCAGAGGGGTTCTTGGAACTTCCCTAATTTCAAATGTATTATTGGCATTCTATTGTTTCGACTGTGAATCAGTGATATTGGATCTGCTCTTATTGTTAGAGTTTTATGTCTATTCTGGCTCAATTATACGATAGGATTTACTTTGGCTGTTATTAAACTAAGGACTAGTATGTTGGCTTTGCTAATCGTCAGTATTATAGTTGTCCCCGAAAATTTCCTAATTAGAGGGAGTTTGCCTAGATTAATTTTAAGATTCATATGGTTTTTTATTTGGAGAACCATCTGGGGAGTCGTCACTTTCCTCTATAAGTTAGGAGCCTTCCTGATCGACATGATTAATTTTGGAGTCACTCATTATGAATTAGCCTCCAAAATTATTCAAAGGAGTAGTATTTTACCGCATCTGCAAAATATTTTAGCCAGCGATGGGAGTATTCATGGATTAATTCGATCTCAGCTCATTTGATATATGAATTCAATCCAAGTTGCTGTGCTTGATGTTGGATGCGTCATCGTCCTCCTGATATGAGCTCACCTCTTATATTTCACTTGGTTAATTTTAGAGCACGTAGCCACCATCATTTAGATAAATTCCCCCACTCTTCTTTTTTTTAGTTGTGGTATTCTCCTTTGATGAGGAGGACTGCTTTCCAATGTCTAAGAATTAATTCATTTTTAAAGATTATATAATTACTGTAATTTTGCATTTGCAATACCTGTTTTTTTTAATAAAATATTCAATTATTTCATTATGGGGTTTTGGGGTTTTGGGGTTTTGGGG